CCGGGGGGGATTTAACAGCCGGGCAGAGGCGGTGCTGGGGGCCAGGGTTTGGGGGTGGGATGGCAGGGGTAGGGGCACGGTTGGTCTGGGGGATCCTAAAGGGCTTTGCCAACCCAAACCATTCTGTGATTCTATGCTTATTCTGTGTCTCAGGGCTCCAAAATGCTGAAAATACACCATAGAAGACAGAACTAGATCTGGCTGGATTGAAAACCCAGGAAAAAGAAATTTCTTTCTGTACTGTGTCCGAGTACCAGCTAATCTCTGCAGATCTCGTCAGCGGGAGTCTCTGGGTCTTTGCTCAAGCCGTCCGTGTTGAGTAAACACACAAGTAGGTCACGCTATTTCAGCTGAAGCCACCCCAGTGCTGAGTGGAACGAAAGAGCTACAACGCGCATTTTGCAGTCACATCTTCCTTTCCAGACACCAACCCAGTGTTTCCACAACAGTCTGACCTTGCTGGTGATGATTCAGTTCATAAGCAACCATATCCCCCAAACCGACTTCTGCAGAACCGCGCCCCAGCCACGCATCCTTCATGAAACTTTGCGGCTGCTTAGTGCCACCTGAGAACTTGGCCATTTTCCACACTGAGCTGCATCTTTTTTGACCCAGAAGTGATCCAGAATAGACACCTTCAAATTCACAGAACCACAGAATGGTTTGGGTTGGAAAAGCCCTTTAAGATCCCCAAGCCCAACCATTCCCCTAACCCTGCCATCCCACCCCAAACCCTGGCCCTAAGCAAACTCATTCCCTTTGCTGGATGCTCTTCATCGTTTTACCAGGTTCAGCTTCGCCCCTTCACCAGCAGTACCAGTCACCCGGCCAGAGAAGGCAGCAGTGTCTGACGTGAAGACCAACGTGAAAAATCAAGATGCCCTGATCTCACCAACTGACGTCTTTTGGTGTCTATCGTTTACCTGGCAGTAATACAATCCAAATCCAAAACGAAGATATATTCTTTTAAATTAAGACTAATTTTCAACTTTCATGAAATTAACACACAAGCCTTGTAAAAGTCAAAAAAAGATTAAAAGAAAAAAATATGCAAGAGACCTCTCTCTCTTAAAAGCTCCCCCTTTCATGCTCGGTTTATAGGACACTACCCAGTCTGTAGTATTTTACATATCCCTGAATTTTTTAGCCCATTTAAAACACTTTGTTGCTTAAAAAGCACAGGGTCAAAAGGCCCGGAATGAAGTTTCTAGAGCTAGAGCCAGGCTTCAGCCTACAGGAACATCAATGCTCCTTACGATCGCCTTGCTGTTCCCTCCGATTTCTCCATTTTTGTCCTTGATTTCCATCTTTTCTCCTTGCTTCAGCTTCAGATAACCCTTAGCCTCTTAATTTCACCAGCCTTTGGTTTAGATTCTGACTGTGCTGAACAAGAAATGGAAATATCTCCTTCCATCCTCCCTCCCATGGCTCACGCCCAGGCCAGCCTTCTACTGCACCGACTGCTCCAACTCCGACCGCTACCAGCTACGTCTTGGGTCTGTACGCGACAAATTTGCTGCTGCTGAAATTCCTTCTGCAGACTTTTGGACCAGTTGTTTGTATGCATCAACGTTTTCAATAGATAAGATGTTAAAATCTGGTCCCTTTCAAGGTTCCCCACAATCATTATTTCTTTCATAGGTTCTTTCCTGTAAAAATTCTGTTCCCCGCTATCTCCTCCATCTCCAGTAATCTTCTACTTCCAGTTCTGCACTTTCTTTCAGTGCAATTCCCTCTTCTTACAAGGAGGACATGGAGCTGTTGGAGCGGGGCCAGAGGAGGGCTACTAAAATGCTCCGAGGGCTGGAGCCCCTCTGCTCTGAGGCCAGGCTGGGAGAGTTGGGGGTGTTCAGCCTGGAGAAGAGAAGGCTGC